TGAGCGGGGAGGGAGTTCTGGGTGATATTTATATACATTAGTGAATTGGGGGCAGGGCGACCTTAGTTGGCACACTTTCAACCCCTTTTTTTTTTCTAGCACGTTTTCTTTTCTGAAGTGTATTTGCTGAGGGAAGTCAAGTATCCACTTTTACAGAAAAGATGCTGTAATTAATATTCTTTTGGCTTGATAGCCACAGTGTTATTGGGATTTTGGGCCCAGATTGCTGTAGACTTTAAAAGGGTCATGAACTGCCTTTGTTTTTTTTATTTCTCTGAGGTCCACTTATAATGTTATCAAGATTTTTACATCAAAATACATCATCATTTAAAAGTAATGCGCCCCTCATTGGAACGGTCTTTTTGAATAGGCGTGGCGGATTGTAGACTCGGAAGTAAATGCCCACTGCTATGATTGGCTAACAGTTTACATCCTTCATAGATGGAGAGACAGGAGTAGCTGCAGGTTAGAGTAATGGGTGTGACAAAAGGTGGTGTTCCGTAAGGTGAATTAGAAAGACCTTTATCCACGCCCCCCTAATCTTTTGCCATGCCCACTGCTCCAGCCTGCAGTTATCCCTACTTGTAGATGGATGCTCCTGTGATTTAGGTTAAAAACGCATAAATGCTAAGTACATATCAAACGATCTGTAATAACAGACAAAGCAGCAGTGACCACATAATAAATACTCACACTTGTGTGGTGCGACATTACTGTCAGATCCAAAATATTCCGCACAGCATCGTCTTTTAGTTTCAATCTTCCTGAAAATCCTGTGTCGAATTGTCTTGTTTGTAAACAAATCTGCGGTAAAATGAAGTGAACAAAGGACCAAGTTCTTACTGATGCTGGAACTTCATTAAAAATAAACTTCATCCACTCTTTCCTAATGTTGGGATCAGAAGGAAGGCGATGCAAAGACTGTGTTTTTCCACAGCTTGGCACTGCACCGCGTCTTGCTGATTTCTGAGCATCTTTATCTTTTGATTTCTGTGTAGACCTGCGTTTGACTCTCTCGTGGTTTAAACTACATGCTCGAATCTCATCCACTCTTTCCTAATGTTGGGATCAGAAGGAAGGCAATGCAAAGACTGTGTTTTTCCACAGCTTGGCACTGCACCGCGTCTTGCTGATTTCTGAGCATCTTTATCTTTTGATTTCTGTGTAGACCTGCGTTTGACTCTCTCGTGGTTTAAACTACATGCTCGAATTAGTAGGCGGAGCTAAACATGCAGTGATGTAGAAGCAGGTGTTGATCTTCTTCCGCGGAGGCGGGGTTTAGCCACACTGTTACATCATAAAGTGGCACATTCCGCAAGCTGTCGTTTTGGCAGATTGGCTTTAATATAAGCTGTTTTTAGACTAACGGGAAAGTTTTGAGTTCTGAAACTTCCAGGATGTTTTTATAGTACGATGACCTCTTATCTGTCGAAAGATCGAGGGAATTTTGATTTCTCAGTTCATGACCCCTTTAAAGGGGAACACAGATCTTTGAAGTGGCTGAATATTACCAACCTGTGAGTAATGTAAAACATTATTACAATTACAATTTAGAATAACTATTTTATATGCAAATATATTTGAAAATGTAATTTATTCATGTGATGGCAAAGCTGAATTTTCAGCATCATTGCTCCAGTCTTCAGTGTCACTTGATCCTTCAGAAATTATTCTAATATGCTGATCTGCTGCTCAAGAAACATTTCGTCTTATTATCAATATTAACAACAGTTGCTTAATATTTTTTGTGGAAACATGATACGCTACCATTCAAAGGTACAATAAAAAATAATACTTTTATTCAACAAGAATGCAATAAATTGATCTAAATTTACAGTAAAGTACTACACAGATCGGTGGAAGAACAGTACAACGAAACAGAGATGTTCACGGAGCCTGAACTCCACAAATGACATGAAAAACATCTAGTGAAAAACCCTCAGAAAGATATTTATAATGTTACCAAAATATTCAGTTTAAAATAAATGACGTTCATTGAACTTTATATTAATCAAGGAAATAAAATGTATAATCGTTTCCACAGCGCAGCATATTAAGCAGTACATTGTTTTCAACATTGATAATGTTTCTTGAGCATCAAGTCAGTTTACTAGAATGATTTCTGAAGGATCATGTGACACTGAAGACTGGAGTAATGACTGCCTGAAGTTTTAAAATGTATTAAAATAGAATTAGTTGTTTTAAATTGTAATAATATTTCACAATATTACGGTTTTTACTATATTTTTTCAAATAAATCCAGCCTTGGTAAAACATAAGAGGCTTATTTTTTTCTTTTTAAAAACATTAAAAAACCTACTGAACCCAAAAATTTTGAATGGTAGTCTATAAAGATAATAAATATTTTGCTTAGAAATATATAGGTTGATAGATAAGGGTCATGAACTGCCTTTGTTTTTTTTATTTCTCTGAGGTCCACTTATAATGTTATCAAGATTTTTACATCAAAATACATCATCATTTAAAAGTAATGCGCCCCTCATTGGAACGGTCTTTTTGAATAGGCGTGGCGGATTGTAGACTCGGAAGTAAATGCCCACTGCTATGATTGGCTAACAGTTTACATCCTTCATAGATGGAGAGACAGGAGTAGCTGCAGGTTAGAGTAATGGGTGTGACAAAAGGTGGTGTTCCGTAAGGTGAATTAGAAAGACCTTTATCCACGCCCCCCTAATCTTTTGCCATGCCCACTGCTCCAGCCTGCAGTTATCCCTACTTGTAGATGGATGCTCCTGTGATTTAGGTTAAAAACGCATAAATGCTAAGTACATATCAAACGATCTGTAATAACAGACAAAGCAGCAGTGACCACATAATAAATACTCACACTTGTGTGGTGCGACATTACTGTCAGATCCAAAATATTCCGCACAGCATCGTCTTTTAGTTTCAATCTTCCTGAAAATCCTGTGTCGAATTGTCTTGTTTGTAAACAAATCTGCGGTAAAATGAAGTGAACAAAGGACCAAGTTCTTACTGATGCTGGAACTTCATTAAAAATAAACTTCATCCACTCTTTCCTAATGTTGGGATCAGAAGGAAGGCAATGCAAAGACTGTGTTTTTCCACAGCTTGGCACTGCACCGCGTCTTGCTGATTTCTGAGCATCTTTATCTTTTGATTTCTGTGTAGACCTGCGTTTGACTCTCTCGTGGTTTAAACTACATGCTCGAATCAGTAGGCGGAGCTAAACATGCAGTGATGTAGAAGCAGGTGTTGATCTTCTTCCGCGGAGGCGGGGTTTAGCCACACTGTTACATCATAAAGTGGCACATTCCGCAAGCTGTCGTTTTGGCAGATTGGCTTTAATATAAGCTGCTTTTAGACTAACGGGAAAGTTTTGAGTTCTGAAACTTCCAGGATGTTTTTATAGTACGATGACCTCTTATCTGTCGAAAGATCGAGGGAATTTTGATTTCTCAGTTCATGACCCCTTTAAAGGGGAACACAGATCTTTGAAGTGGCTGAATATTACCAACCTGTGAGTAATGTAAAACATTATTACAATTACAATTTAGAATAACTATTTTATATGCAAATATATTTGAAAATGTAATTTATTCATGTGATGGCAAAGCTGAATTTTCAGCATCATTGCTCCAGTCTTCAGTGTCACTTGATCCTTCAGAAATTATTCTAATATGCTGATCTGCTGCTCAAGAAACATTTCGTCTTATTATCAATATTAACAACAGTTGCTTAATATTTTTTGTGGAAACATGATACGCTACCATTCAAAGGTACAATAAAAAATAATACTTTTATTCAACAAGAATGCAATAAATTGATCTAAATTTACAGTAAAGTACTACACAGATCGGTGGAAGAAAAGTACAACGAAACAGAGATGTTCACGGAGCCTGAACTCCACAAATGACATGAAAAACATCTAGTGAAAAACCCTCAGAAAGACATTTATAATGTTACCAAAATATTCAGTTTAAAATAAATGACGTTCATTGAACTTTATATTAATCAAGGAAATAAAATGTATAATCGTTTCCACAGCGCAGCATATTAAGCAGTACATTGTTTTCAACATTGATAATGTTTCTTGAGCATCAAGTCAGTTTACTAGAATGATTTCTGAAGGATCATGTGACACTGAAGACTGGAGTAATGACTGCCTGAAGTTTTAAAATGTATTAAAATAGAATTAGTTGTTTTAAATTGTAATAATATTTCACAATATTACGGTTTTTACTATATTTTTTCAAATAAATCCAGCCTTGGTAAAACATAAGAGGCTTATTTTTTTCTTTTTTAAAAACATTAAAAAACCTACTGAACCCAAAAATTTTGAATGGTAGTCTATAAAGATAATAAATATTTTGCTTAGAAATATATAGGTTGATAGATAATAAATATTTAAGTAATATTAGAATAAGTATTAAATGATTAAATCAATTAACAAAATAAAATGACATTTTAAGATAGAAATTAAAAATACAAATGTAAATAAATAATTATAAATGTATAAAAATTATGTCAGACAGAGAGTTTAATTTTCAATATATTTCTTACAGTTTGGTAGTATCACATCTCATAAAACTGTTATCCAGTTGTTTGGACATTCAGCCTCATCTCATATCATACCTGTTTAGATTGACATGAGGGCCAATAAATAATTTTTTAGGTAAACTATTGCTTTAATGCATTTTTTGATTCCCTTACGCAAAGGTTTGTGTTGCTTAATTTTATATCAGTGCACAGCCTGCGTTTCAGCCATGAGACATGCCTCAGCATTTTTGCGTGAACAGCCATTCTGCTTGTGTGAATCACAGAGTTTGTGGATGAAGCTAAATTATGGGCTGGTGTCATCATGCTGTCTGCAACTGTCTAATTACCTTATTCTGTGTGAATCAAGGCCTGCTAATGTACTGTACCATGACACAACTATCTGGGCGGTGTGAGCCCTTCAATGGCTGCATGAATTGTTTGTTTTTTTTTTCATCGGTTTTTCTCTCTTTTCTCCATAGGAGACTCTGCAGGAGGGATATGTAAGCAGGGGCCAGTCTGGGAAATCGAACCACGATGACATGGGTCTTACTCAGCAGGACCGCCCGTCCAGCCTTCCGGTGAGACATTACAGTCCAAAATTAGTCTGAGATTTTAGAGACCGTCTGACCTAGGTGTTTGATAATGACTTATTTTTCTAAAAATACTTTTAAGAGATCCCTGTATATATATTTCTCAAGTGGGGATATAGTTGTTTAAGAGATATTAATGAACAAACTGACACAATAACAACCTGGTACATGTGGAGAAAATGCCCTTTTTTTGTCTCACGTGCATACAAAGACTTCTGGTTGTAAGTTGCACTGTTGTTTGCCTTTTCAGAGCTCCATTTTTTCAGTGCTCTGGTTGTGACTATTTATCAGAATTGGATACTTTTCCAGAATCCTCTTTTGTGCTTTGTTGCAACCAAATTGTCTGCACCAGTTATTCTCAACGTGTCATGAACAAAAATGGGTCGCAGGTCTGTTCTGACGGAGCCCTGGACAGTGGGTAAAACAATATACAAAATAATAGAATGAAACTTACCACATAATAGTGCATAGTTGGAATTAGGGCTGCACGATTAATTGAATTTCTAATCGCGGTTATCTTAAGGGTTTTTCCATGGTTTTAATTTTAGTTTTAGTATAATATTATTATACCATTCATATTTTTGAAACCAATCCGATGTATAGTTGACATTTGAGGCTTAATACTATAGACCTTCCGGTGAGACATTACAGTCCAAAATTAGTCTGAGATTTTAGAGACCGTCTGACCTAGGTGTTTGATAATGACTTATTTTTCTAAAAATACTTTTAAGAGATCCCTGTATATATATTTCTCAAGTGGGGATATAGTTGTTTAAGAGATATTAATGAACAAACTGACACAATAACAACCTGGTACATGTGGAGAAAATGCCCTTTTTTTGTCTCACGTGCATACAAAGACTTCTGGTTGTAAGTTGCACTGTTGTTTGCCTTTTCAGAGCTCCATTTTTTCAGTGCTGTGGTTGTGACTATTTATCAGAATTGGATACTTTTCCAGAATCCTCTTTTGTGCTTTGTTGCAACCAAATTGTCTGCACCAGTTATTCTCAACGTGTCATGAACAAAAATGGGTCGCAGGTCTGTTCTGACGGAGCCCTGGACAGTGGGTAAAAACAATATACAAAATAATAGAATGAAACTTACCACATAATAGTGCATAGTTGGAATTAGGGCTGCACGATTAATTGAATTTCTAATCGCGGTTATCTTAAGGGTTTTTCCATGGTTTTAATTTTAGTTTTAGTATAATATTATTATACCATTCATATTTTTGAAACCAATCCGATGTATAGTTGACATTTGAGGCTTAATACTATAGAAAAACACTAAAATTTTTCAGTTAGAGTGTTTCAGCTTGTTTATTTTCATATAAAAATACGGCATGTAGTTGCATCAAACAATGGTATATCTATACAGGTGGTGCTGGGGAAGATGGAGGGTTTTACACTCAAAGCGCGCTGCAATGCTCAAGCGAATGCTAATCAGCCATTTCAATGTAAAGCAGCAAGCTCATTGGCTGCGAATGCAACATGAACCAATCAGCTTGTGTCAAGTTGTTTAATGCTAAGAATATCATCAGTTACATTTCGGTGCCTTGCTCAAGTCGTGGTATTGCAGGTGGGAGAGAGTGCTGTACATTCACTCCCCCCACCTACAATCCCTGCCGGTATGAGACTCGAACCCACAACCTTTGGGTTATGAGTCCGACTCTCTAACCATTAGGCTACGACTTCCCAAGAAAACAAGAAAAGATGTTAAGCAGAATGTTCGTGTTTTTCTTTTCCGTACAATGAACACATTAGGTGCCCAACACCTGTTCCAAAATGAACAAAAAAGCACTATGAAATACAATAAAAGTCAGTTTTGCCCATACAACCTGCTGCACTTTGATTACGTTAGAAGATACACAGGAACCAGAGGCATGTCATTGATGTTAGGTGATATGGAACTTCTCTTGATAAGTAGGAACCACTTGAGTTTTTGTTCCACGAAAGAACAAGGTTATACGGGTTGGGAGCAACATGAGGGTAACTAAATTTTTATGGTAAAATATTCCTTACAGCAGGGGTCTTCAACGCTTGAGGTCCAGTAATGAACTCTCCTCACCAGCCAAGGTCCGGACAATAAAACCTAAAAACATGAATTGATGATTTTTGCTAGACCAGGGTATCTTCAGGATATTTAAGCTCAAATTTAAGACTTTAAGATCTTTTATAAAGACCTGCACAAATAAAGTTTAAATGACTGTAAAAAGCATGATATACAGTTCAGACACAGGTTTTCACAAAAACAAAAATGTTATAAAATTATAAACTTCACATTTCAGCCTTTAAACCATTTTTAAGAAAATGGAGTCAAAAATATCAATTATTATATTAATTTAAAAATGTATTAGCAATTAAAGGTGCAATATGTAAGTTTTCACCGCTAGAGGACGTGTATTCAAAACAAAGAAAGAAACAAAGGCGTAGTTTGATGACGCAGTGACTGAGTGTGAAATCATGGGAGTTGTCGTCTTCATCCCCACAGCCGACACAATCCGATGGGGCTCAGGCAGAAATTATGTTCATGGATGAGCTAATGTATTAAAGATTTATTAACATCGTAGTATGAAGCAGAGTGAGGCGGAAAGCCGTCGAAGCGAAACGAGGCCGCTGAAGCAATTGCTAATGAGAGACGAGAGTGACACACGGTTCGAAAGCAGCGGAGCTTTTATTATGCCACAGTCGACTGCTTCCGCTCTTTCCGGTCGTGCGTATGTGGGGTAAAGCAGCGCTGTTTTATCATACTAGATACGCTTGAAAGTTCTGTTATAGAGCTACTCTGTGCGGTCGTCACCTATCTAATAAAACGCACAACATATTAAAGCATCTTTGGTGTTTCCATGTTTTCTACAAAACAAAACCGGAAATCGAGAGTGTATGACGTCATTGGCAGGCGACACAATGACACTATAGACACGGTCCGTGTCACTAGTTAAAATTGCTTATTTCTCTGGATTTAAACGTGCTTCGAAACATTTGGGATAATGTAAGTACACAAGTCAGCAAAATATGTAACACTGTTCTAGTGGTTTTTGGATATTTTAATAAAAAAATCGTACATATTGCACCTTTAACTATTATATTAATTAAATAAAATATAAATATATTTTACTGTCTTCTTAATTGTTTCTATTTTTTAATGCATTATCTTCTTGTTGATCCACAAGTTCACATTTACAGCTCTGCATGTTTGCTGCGTAAAAACATGGGTTGATTGGGTCTGAACAAAAACAGCAGATGGGCTTATTGAAAATGTAAATTAATCAGACCGTCAGAAATATAGCGGTTTTCCCGGTAACGGCAGTATACAAAGCAGCGCAGCATCTGACTGCAGTACTCATATTTATTTAATGAAATCAACGCCTTTTGAAGTTTAATCGTCACATTCAGCCGTTTCGCAATTCTTGTCTTTCCGTCTGACCTCCTGAAATCATAAGACTTTCTTGTACCATTTTAGACTTTTTAAGGCCTTAAATTTGATGCAACTAAATTTAAGACTTTTTAAGGACCGGTGAACTTTCATAATTTTTTAGAATTGTTTTTCACTCACTGAAAGTTTCATCTGTCTGCGCGCCACTTTCTGCTTTCTTCACTGCACGCACGACTGTACGTCTAAACGTATCAACAGTTAACTGTAGTAGCAACCCGTGGCGCTGTAGGACCCAAGTGGCTCTACTGAGCTGACCTTGATGTGCTCGATATAAATTTGATTTTATTAGAACATAGCGTCTGGCATTTATTTATTTCATTATGTCAAAAGGCTTCACGGAACAGATTCGGACCGGATTCTTCACTGATCTGTCAAGATATTCTCAAGGATCAAATGATTTATGAGGATTTCTAGATTGCTAAAGGAATTTCAGTGACCATCCATTTCCTAAAACTAGTCATCCAGCCCGGCTGCCCTCATAAAGCTCTTATGTGTCCAGTGAGCAGAGAGTCAGAAGATGCTGCATGGGTATTTAAATGAGTGGAACTGCAGTCTCTGGTGCTGTCATTATGGGTTTCCCGCAGGGGTTTGACGACTGAGGTAATGTTGTTTAAAAGCCCCAGGCGGCTGCTGGTATCATGCCGGCAGACCTATTTTTAGACGTGTCTGACACAATGGCCCAGTGAACTCTCAGCCAAGGACAAAGAGAATAACAGCAGAATGAACGGCCAGTCTGCCCTCTGTGTGTGCGTTTGGATAATTATCTCAAAGCGTCTCTGACACAGTAAAGTACTACACCAGATCAGTGAAAGAAAAGGACAAAGAAACAGATGTTCATGTAGCCTGAACTACACAAATGAAATAAAAAAAATCTAGTGGAAAAACCTTCAGAAAACATGGGTTGGAAATTAGATGTGACCCAAGACCACAGAGAACATATTTTTCAGCCTAGGCTGTACTTCTATCCTTCACAACCTCAATTTACAAAAAAAAAGTCCACTTCTGCTTTGTTTGACCTAACAATGGAAGATGGCAAACTGTTAAACTCATTTTTTTTGTCTATGAAGTCCTGGGTCTGGTCTCTGGTGAGGGTGTTACCGTGGCAATATAATGATAAACAGCCAGCCCATAAATATGAACTGATGTTTCACTGAATTATTCCTACAATGAAATTGAAAATAGAAGCAGGATCAGTGTTATGGCAATAATAAAAAAATTACATGTGAGCATTTTGGAGAATGTTTTGGAGCTGGGGGAAATTTGCCCTTTGGTCTTCTACACCTGGTCGTGCTCATAATTGTGGAATCCCCATGAAATCTGACATGTTTTTTTAAACACATTTGGCTCATTGTCTCTTTATTTATGTAAGCATAAAGTAATCCACCTTGCTGGCACCAAAAACAGTGTGAGCTTTGCATGCATAATCCGTTGTCATGCTTCCTACCTGCAAAAAGTCTTTGAACATTTTTTTTTGCAGTAAACATGTTAAAAGATATGATATTTTAAGTTAAAGGGGTCATATGATGCTTTTTTTAAAGATCATTATTTGGTGT